CATTTTATCATTTGTGGTGGACTTGTGACAAAGCAAAAAAAAATTTGGGCAAAGATACACAGGTGGTTGGAAAAGATGATAGGGAAACATGTAGATTTCAAACCTGAACTGTTTTTTATTAGGTAATAATATCAGAAAAAACGTGATAAGAAAAGTATGTATTGAATATTACATGTCTGAATAGCAGCGAGGGATTACTTTCCCACAATATTGGAAAAATGAAGATATACCGCGAGATGAAGAAATAGTTAAGAAGATATTAGACTCTGCAGAAATGGATAGATGGAGATTGAAAATTAAACAGAAAGAGGATGCAGAATGCTATCAAACATGGAATTTATTTTACCAATGGCTGAAAAAAAGGGGTAGAGAATAAGAATGTAAATTTGTATTGTTAAGTCAATTAAATACCCAGAAAACACAATGTTTATTAAGGACTAAGAAATGTATTTAATAGAAAATCAATAAAATAATAATAATGAAAAAAAGAAAGGACAGGTAGGGGTGACAAGGTGAACGTATTGGGAAAAAACCCCTAGGAGGTTCAGATGCATGGATAAAATGGCAGGAAAGTCTTCACACCATTTAAATCTCTTCAGCACTGGAGAAATCCCATTGAAGCACTGGGTGCCACACCTTAAAAAAAGATTCTCTTACAGATCCTCAAAGGCCTTAGGAGAAAACATCTGGTTATGATTAAACTTGAGAAAAAGCTTTAAAAAAAAATTGCCCCAGAGCAAAGTCACCTTAAATCAGAGTTCCCCAACATTTCTGGCTTTGTGGACCGGCCTTGTGGGTGGGGAGGGGTGAAGAGAGGGGATCAGTGGTGAAATCCAATTTTTTTTACTACTGGTTCTGTGGGCGTGGCTTGGTGGGCGTGGTGTGGCTTGATGGGCGTGGCAGGGGAAGGATATATATATATATAATTTGATTTATATGCCGCCCTTCTCCGGAGACTCAGGGCGGCTTACAATGTGCTAAGCAATAGCCTTCATACTTTTGTATATTTATACAAAGTCAGCTTATTGCCCCCACAAACTGGGTCCTCAATTTACCTACCTTAGAAAGGATGGAAGGCTGAGTCAACCTTGAGCCTGGTGAGATTCGAACTTACAGTAATTGCAGACAGCTGGTGTTAATCACAATGCTTTCAGTCTGCTGAGCCACCAGGCCCCACCAGACCAGAATTGCAGTACTGCAGACTATTTCTGCCAACTGCCTGCACTTCCATCTTTCCAAGGTGGGTAAAAGGAGGGCCCAGATTGTTGGGGGCAATAGGCTGACTCTGTGAAAGGCTTGGAGAGGGCTGGAAAGGACTGTGAAGTGTATATAAGTGCTATTGCTATTGAAAGACGGTGAACTACCTATTCCTGGTTGTTGTTGTTGTTGTTGTTGTTTTTCAAGGGGAAGACTGGATGTTCTCCAGGTTCCCCTTGTGTGGCCCAAAGCTCCGCTCTTCGGAACCTTTCAAAGGGACTTGGCACCTTTGGCAGGGCCTCCTCACTACAGGCAACCCCAGGTAGACTTCCAGAGCAGCTGTCCCCAGAGGACCTTCTTGGCTTCTCTTGCACTTCCACTTAGTGCAAGGAAGGGCAACTCAGGACGGAGCTGCTGGTCAGGAAGGACAGATCAACGGAGCGCAACCCTCCCCAGGGCAGGCATCGCGGGGGGGGGGGGAAGCCAGTCCTTTGCCCGGCGGCAGGTGAAGAAGCCTTGATAGTACAGTGGTCTAAGCACCCTGTTATTAACACAGCTGCCTGCAATTTACTGCTGGTTCGAATCTTACCAGGCTCAAGGTTGACTCAGCCTTCCATCCTTTCTAAGGTAGGTGAAATGAGGACCCAGTTTGTGGGGGCAATAAGCTGACTTTGTATAAATATACAAAAAGTATGAAGGCTATTGCATAATGCATTGTAAGCCGCCCTGAGTCTCTGGAGAAGGGCGGCATATAAATCAAATTAAAAAAGAAGAAGAAGAAGAAGAAGCCTCCGCTGGCGCTGGGGAGGCTTGGCTGCTTGGCAATCTTTTTTTAGGTGCCACTTTGCATCGCCTAGGCGGGCTGCAGACTCTGGGGGGCACAGTCGGAACCCGACAATCCTTCTCTTGGGTCCAGGACCGGGAAGGATAGATTGCTCCTGCCTCACCTTGGCCGCTGGGCAGGGCAGGGCTGGGCACCCAGGTTCCTTGGGCTGGGCTGGTTGCGCGGCTGCCTTGCGCTCCGGCCATCCTTGGATTGGCAGGAGGGGGGGGGGGGGGCGGGCTGGGCGGGGGGGGGGGTTTGGGGGGGGGGGGGGGGGCCTCCTCCTCCTCCTCCTCCTCTTCCTCCTCCTCCCTGCGCAGCCCGGCCCACCTGAGCCGGCGACTGGCAGCCCCCCCCCCTCCCTTGCCGCAGCCGCGCCCCCGTCCCGAGGCATCCCGGCCAGGAAAGGCGGTGGTGGAGGCGCCGCATTGTGCCCGGCAGAGCTGCTTCTGACGCACCGCCCCCCGAAAGTCCCCGGCCAGCCAGCCAGCCAGCCAAGCAGCCAAGCAGCCCCGCCCGTCCCCGCCCCCCGCCCCCTCCCCGAGAACCGCCGCGCGCGCGCGCCAGGGAGGGGGAGGGGAGAGAGGGGGGGGGAGAGAAAGCGCGTGCACGCGAGCAAGCGAGCAGCCGAGCGGGGAAGCTTGCGAGCGAGCGGAGGGGAGGGCGCCCGGCGCGGGGGCGCGCGCGGTCGGGTCTGTGTCTGGCGGGCAGCGGGTGTGTGGCGGCGGCTGAGGAGGAGGAAGAGGAAGAGGAGGAAGAGTCCGGGCGGAGAAGGGACCCTGGAGGGACGGAGGGTCCTTGGGCTCCGCGGCGGCGGCGGTAGCAGCAACGGATCAGGTCGGTCTCTGCAGCTCCTCTTCGGCTTCGCCACGGTTGGGGGCGCCCACCCCCCCCCACCCCCCTCTCATGCCCGGCCGTCCCGCCGCGTTGGCGGCTTGCGCTGGGACTCCAGATGGGGGGTCGGGCTGGGTTGGGAGGAAGGGGCGTCTCCGCGCTCAGCAGCTGCAGCGGCGGCCAAGCCAAGCGCGGGAGTCCCGGTTTTGGGGAGATGCCCCTGGGGAGGATGGGGAGGGGGGGGCAGCCCGATGGCGCATCCGCCAGAAGTGGCCGCTCAGCCCTCCCACCCCCAAATCCCACTCCCAAGCGGGCAGCAGGTCGGCTGGGGATGGGGGGGCGTCTTTTGGGAGGGGTCCCGGGGGTGCTCTGGGACGCTTGCACTCCGGGGTCGATGGCACGGGTGCCCGTGACTCGGCGCTGTCACTTGCCCCCCCCTGGCTCGCCCTTCAAGTGGCTTCTGCCAGCCCCCTCCCCTCCCCTCCCCTCCCTTCCTCCTCCTTTCTGCTGGGGGTGGATGGAGTAGGAGTTGACAAAGGGAGAAGTTTGCGTGAGATCGGCCCGACCCAGGCTGGGGGGTGGGAAGTGGGTGGGTGGGCGAGGGCGGAAGATCCCGCTGGCTGCGGAGAGCCGGGGGTTAATGCCAGCCAGGGTCGACTCGAGACTGGGGGGGTCCCGGTGGGAAGTTGGCTTGCAGAGAGATTCCCCCTCCCTGCTGGGCTCTTGGCGCAAAAACTTTCCGGCCAACTTTATTTTGGGTGGGTTTCTTTTTAGCCGAAAAAGTGGGAAAGCAGAGGACCGAACGCTTTTTCGGCCGAAAGCTGAATTAGAGCGTGCTTGATTTGTACGGGTGGCTTTTCGCGGGGCTCTTTCCTCTCGCGTCCCCGTCGGACAAAACTTGCATTGTTCGAGTCGCTTTTTAAATCGCGATTACCGACCTTTTCAGCTGATTTAGGAGCTTGGCCGTGTCGGCTTCGGAAATATCTTTTTTTTTTTCCTTTTCTTTAAAGTCAGGCGGAATGCATAAAGCTGGATAAGAGCGCCGGGACGGGTTTTGACCGCGGGTTTTGAGTGGAAACTCCCCACGGTCCCCCCCAAAAAAACTCCCAGAAACGCTGCACCAAACGCCCCCTGGAAGCACCTCGGGGGTGACTCGCGGTCCCCTCCGCCCACGGAGCATTTAATTTCCACGCGGGATCGGGGACACGCGGGAACCTGGCGGACACGTGCCAATCTAGCTTCAAAAGCCCCGCGAACTCCAATCTTGGGGGGGGGGGGCGGTGTGGCCCGAAAGCTGGTCCCCCAGCTTTGGGTGGGAGGAGAATGGGTGGGCTGCCTGCGCGAACTGGAGGAAAAGAGGAAAGGAGGGGAGGGTCCCTTTTGCTCGGGCTCCTGTTCCTGGCAGGAATGTGTCCCCCTCCCTCCTTCTCCTCCTCCTCCTCCTCCCTTCCCCCGTTCATCCCTGCAGCCTTTGGCCAGGCTGGGTGGGAAGAGAGGGGGGGACGGGACGCGGTGCTCTCCGCCCGAAGTGGGGCCCTTTCGGTGCGCCAAAGGCTGTTTGGATTGGCTCGGAGCCGGGGGGCTGGGAAATTGGCCCCGCTTCAGGGTCACATGTGGCGAGCAAGGGGCACCGAGAGGCCGGGTTCCATGGCTCTCCCTCCCTCCCTGCCTGCCTCCTTCCCTCCCTCCCCGATCTTGGCAGGTAGCGCTTCACGGCAAGAGGTTTCTTTATATGGCCCTGGTATGTGAGCACCATTTCCTGAGTCTTGAAATGAAACAGGAGCAGCCGAGTGAAGACTGTGTGTCTCTGTGTGTCTGTGTGTGTGTGTGTAGTGCGCACACATGCACAACCCCTCCCCTGCCTCTCTCTCTCTCTCCTTCCCTCCCTCCCCGCATGTCACTAAAGAGATGGCCGGGAGAACGAAGCCGCTTCTCCAGACGCGGAGTTTTTTTTAAAGTCAATAATTCAGCCTTTGCTTCGCCCAGGCGCAAATCTGCCCAAGTAGAGAGAAAGAGAGAGAGAGAGATGGTTTAGGAAAAAGGGGGCAGTGCCTGTCCTTAAGCAAGGCTGAAGATACTGTCGTCATCCGTGGCAAAGTAAGGCAGTCTTCCTGCTCTCCCCTCCCTCCCTCTCTCCTTCCCCTCCTCTCCCCGCTTCTCTCGGTACAAGCTCGAAAAGCCCACCGCGGCTGAGCGAGCGAGCGAGCGAGCGCACAGCCTCAGCAGCGGCAAGCAGCCTTTTTCTCTCCCTCTTGTCTCCTGCACAAACACAATGATGTCACTTTCCTTTTCTGCTCCTGGGTGGGGAAAGGAAGAGGTTGAGCCGCTCGAATTGGCTCTCAGGTCACGCAGAGCATCTCCCCGCCAGGCGAGAGAGGGCTTCTAGGACACCCCCCCCCTCCCCCGCTTGGCTTTTCGGGAGGAAAGGCAGCGTGTATCCTGGACCCAGGTGGGGTGTGTGTATATGTCTCTCTCTCTGTGTGTGTGTGTGTAAGGGAAGGGTTTTGGGGTGACAGGAAATGCTGCCCGGTTTTGGGAACCCCCAGGCAATAGGGACACCCCTCTGGCAACAGTGAAAAGCTTGTCACTCTTTGGCTTTCCATAAATGGGGGACATCAGTCTTGGGATTTAAGGTTTATTATTGTTGGAAGAAATCCCTACATTACTTTGTGTCTTGGGACAAGTCTTTACATAATTCCCATCCTTAGGCTTTGGTCTTGCCGAAAAGGGATCAGATCTCTCTTGGAGGGGAGGAAAAATAATGATGATTTGCATTCTGGGAGATCCTAAAAAAAGTAAGTGAGTGATCTCGGGTCCATGGGAACATTCAGGATCAGAAAGGTCAGGCAGTTCAGTGGTTTGAATCCCTAGTATAGGTTTCCTGCGTAAGCAGGGGGTTGAGCTAGATGACCTTCAAGGTCCCTTCCAACTCTGTTACTGTTGGAACAGACAAGTAGGACAACAGGAGGCTTTGGACTGCCGCGACCTAGAACAAACATGGTACCTTCACTTCACCCAGAAGTCCATAAAAACTGGACCGAAGACTGATCTGCAAGTGTCAAGTTTTTATGGACTTCTTGGCGAAGTGAAGATGCCATGTTTGTTCTAGGTTGCGGCAGTCCGAAGCTTCCTGTGGTCCTACTTGTCTCCTGAATGTTCCTGTGGATCCTGAGATCATCCATCAAGCATGTTCTCCACTGGTGGCCCTCTTTTCAGAGGTTGATTGGGTGTTTGGAGAAGACTTTTGGGGAAGGACTGTTTAGTGCTGGATTGCATCACCTGGTTGCAGAAAATCCTAGGTTACTTTTTGGGGGATCTCCATTAAAAGGACCTCAGGGAGATGATGACAGAGAACTTTTTCAGAGATGCTTACTTTTCTTTCCCTGAGCCCCCTCACTCTTCCCCAGTGCTAGGGTGTGGTTCATTACAAGGGTGTGTCTATGGAGATTCTCAGTCATCCAGATCATGGTAGTCCCAAAGATGCTTTTTCAAGAGGCAACTGGACTAGAGCTGAAGAAGCTTCTTGGATGAGAAGCTAAACATCTTCAAAGAAAAACCAGAAAGTCCAGTCGAAAAAAAAACACCTTTGGGACTACGAGAGAGTGTTTTGGTGAGTTTATCCATGTCAGAAGCATCCATGATCATCTCTCTGTACTCTCTTTTCACTCTTTCCTCCTCTTCATGGCATCTAACACATATTGCAATTTTATTTATTGGTGCATTTATTCATTTTGACGTTAAAAATAGGTTTCAGCAACCTTGAAAAATGATTTATGCAGTAGGAAACACGTGTTTAGTGGTGTTTAGTGGTGACCCAGGTAAGTTTTCTTCAACTGGTGTCTGGGAATGTAAAGTAGATAACAGAATAATAGAAGGGACCTTGGAAGTCTTCTGGTCCAACCTCCTGCTCAAGAAGAAAACCCTACACCACTTCAGACAAAGGGTTTTCCAATCTCTTCTTAAAACCTTCCAGTGTTGATGCATTCACAACTTTTGGAGGCAAGTCGTTCCACTGATTGATTGTTCTAACTACCAGAAAATGTCTCCTTCTCTCCTTGATTGGTTTCCATCCATTACTTCTTGTCCTGTTTTTAGAAGTTTTGGAGAATAGGTTGGGCCCTTCTCTTCTTTGTGGCAGCCTTCTTTGTGGTAGGTAGATTAAGCATCTCTTAAAAACCATACATTCATAACCACAGGAAGAAGAAGACACCTAGTCTGGGTCCAAGCTGGAGCTGAGAAAAACTAAAGAGGGTGGAGTAGAGGGGGAGGAAGAAGGGACAAAATGTCGGAGGTGGGGCAGGAAACGGAAGGAAGGCGGATCTGAGCTCTCTGCAAAGAGCCAGTGAAAGCCGTTGTCCTTCTCCCATGAATTGCACAGGCCTGGTGTCAAAACAGTTGGCCCAAAGTAGGCAGGAAGTGTCACTCCAAAGACCTGAACGGGGAGAAGGAGGAAGGAGGAGAGTTGGTCTTCCAGAAAGGGGCTCCTCTGATGGCTGAGAAAGAGAGGTCAGCCAGTAGAGAGGGAACTGCTGCTGCTATTCATCGGGAAAGCTTGTCGAGCTGCCAAACCTGGGAAAGGAAAGGGAAGGGAAGGGAAGGTGGGGCCGGGCGAGGCGAGGAGTGAGGCCTGGCATCTTAAATCAACGAGCGGTTTTCCCACTGAATTTGAGTTATTCATCTGTAGATCCCCGGAAGTCCCTTGTGCAAGCTTCTCCTTTAGTTTCCTTTCCCGAGAAAAGGATATTGTATTGAAAAGGTTGACTTTATCACAGCCTCTTCCTGCAGGGGAGATAGCAGTCTCCTGATTCTGTTGGAGGAAAGTCCTCTAGATGTTGAGTTGAGATTCCTTTTTCTGCGGCACAGCCAAGGAAGCTATCAGAAGAAGGCACTCTTCTGGGTGCTTGATTTTCTTTGGTGCTTGATCTTCCACAGTGCATGCTTGGCTTTTCCGACAGCTTTGCCTTGGCAGAAGAGAGAGGCAGAGCCTGGCACCTTTTCTTGACATGTTTCTGTGGAACCTCAATGCCAACCTGCCGAATACGAGCTGGAAAGCGACTCCGGTTACGGGCTCTGTTTCATCACGCATCTCAGCTTGCTGGGCGCAGCACCCGGTATCATCCGGAGGGTGGCCGCCTGCCTCATTGGCTGTCCTGGGCTGCACCGAGAGGATAATTGCCAGCCGGGTGTATTGGCTTTTGTGCAAGTGCTCTGACTGGCACAGAGATGCAGCATTCCTTGCAAAGTAGCTGCGATGTTGCTAGCAGAGAGGCTGTCTTTTGTTCAGGCAATTCCGTTCTTCAGCTGAAGGTCTTCCATCAAGCGGTCTTCAGTCCTGGTCCTGGGGCTACAGTAGGACTACTGAGGCATTTGCCCCAGGAGTCTTGTTTTTGGACCTTCAAGGGAATTCCAGGGAACAAAACTCTCCCACTTGGATTCCCTTGGCTGTGGTTCTAGGTATCCTCCTAGGAAATCGGGGAAACATTAAAATAAATTAAAAGCATCGTATTGATATCGGCACACTAGGGAAGACTTTGGTGAGAAGGGAGGTAGACAAGGATGAAGTTGACTTCTACCTTGAGAATCTTGCAAGCTTCCTTTTTTGGTATTGATTAGGAAAGTGGGCTGATGTGAAGGACCCACTAATTTGATCTTGCCTTGAGCACTGAGCTTTTAATTGATGCTCCCCTTGGGCTCCCCTGTTCTTAGTCATAAGAGAAGAATGGCTTTACGGCAACTTCCTGCTCACCCTGAACTCCCCCAAAAGATTTCCTTGAGGCAGCTGCCCAAGGGGTGCTTGCATTGACGCTGAAATAATAGCATGGTTGGTATCCCGTCGTTGCCAAATTAAATACAGCTGCTTGGTTGGGAATTTGGAGAACTTGGTGGGTCAGTCATATCCATCTAAGGCAGGATCTAAATGCTTTTTCCGTCAATCTGCCGGAATTCTGATGTCTCTGGCTTAACCCTCCTTGAATGTTCTGTTTGCTCAACTGACGAAAGAGCAAAAACAGATCCAGCCATATCAGGGTGGACTTTTTTTTTTGAAATGGCAGATTGTGAAGATTTCTGTTTTTAAGCTTGACTGGAGGTTGTTTTGCATCGAATTAAGTATATCGCTTCCCCCCACTTCTTAGTTTGCAAGTGGTGCCCGTTGTTTTAGGAGTAAAGGAAACACTGTCTCTAACATGATTTTGCTAAGGAAAAAGCCTTTCCTGAGGGTGGATGAACCTTCTGACCTTCTCAACTCCTGGCTTTTTTTCCTGCAGCCGCAGTCTTTCTGAATGTTAGAAAGAAACTTACCACTATGCTCAGTTTCCCAATTAGGAAGCAAAATGCCTTCTAAAGAGCTTACACTGTGGAATGAAAGAATGACGAAGGTCATTGCATGTGGCCCGGATAAATTCTGCCTGGTGGCCTCCCATATCTTTGAAGACATTCCCTTTGAGGAGGAGGAATCAGATGATCTTCTTAGTGGAGAAACATTTCCTTTCTTCAGCACAGAAAGACATCTGTGCTGGAATGGAAATCTGTATCTGGGTTGGTTTCGACACCACCGTTTGGTGCTGTACGTAGGGCTTAATTCCTATAGACTGAGCTAAGAGAGGGTCCTTATGGCTATAGGAAGGGCAGGTGGTGATGAGAAATAAGCCTGGAAGAAGGCTTGAGAAATGGTAATGGCAAAGGGATTGTCTTAATGAACATGATCAATCCAACGCTGTTGAAAGTTTTGGCAAGTAGAGTTGCTTCAGTCTTGAAAGAACTCTGGGAGAAGCTCCTGGTGAAGGGAAGACTCTTAAATCAGCAATTGGTTGTCTATATTATCTTACAAGGCTTGGCTGAGAGACATAGATGCTGAGATAGGTAGACCTCTCTTCCCTTCTCAAGAAATTACTCTAGCTCAGGGGTCTCCAAACTTGGGAACTTTAAGACTTGAGGACTTCAATTCCCAGAATTCCCCAGCCAGCCATGCTGGCTGGGGAATTCTGGGAGTTGAAGTCCACAAGTCTTAAAGTTCCCAAGTTTAGAGACCCCTGCTCTAGCTGCTCCAATTAAATATACCCCTTTCTGTTTCATGCTTAGTCCACTTAAGACCTCAAGATCTCTGAGCAACAATTCCTCATTTCTCTAGACCACTTTGCAATGTAGATTCCCTCCAACGTTTCGTCCGAGCAGATCCATTTTCCAAATAGACAACCTGAAGGACCATGGCAACCAGAATTCATGGGTTGTTCACACCAGATTCTGAAGACTCACCTCCCCCATGTTATCACATGTACAGTATATCCATTCAATGGTTTCCATGGAACCGTTGGTATATCTTGCGGGAAAAAAATAATAGCTGCTGTTGTTCTTAGCTTTAGCTTTTGTGCTAGAATAAGGATTGAAAAGTTGAGGTTGCTTCGGAGAAGAAGGTTCAGAGGCTGGCTGGGGTTGAATTATGCTAAATAT